CCACCGTGACTGAAGTTTCCTGAGGCCTCCCCAGAGTGGCGGCCTGCGCTCCCTCCCGGTGTAGCCTCGGAGCTGGTCATGAAAACAGGTGAAGATACAAGCCAAGTCTTCTTTGCAAAGAGAAAACTGAGGTGCAAGATTTGGGCTCTGGAGGCCCCTGCCTGGGACGCAAGCCCTGCTCTGTGTCTGGTCCCAGCAATACGTGGCGGGTCAGACGTCCCCGGCCAGGCTTCTGAGAGCCCACGAGTGGGACAGGCTAAAAGCCGAGGGCCTAGAATGACGAGCCCACATGGTGACGTCAAGGGCACCTCTGAGAACCCACAGCCCCTTCTTCCTTCAATGAAGCTGAAGCCAGATGGGTTGGCTCCCTCAAAGCGACCTGGCTAGTTTTCGAAGTCTCTGAAGACATCAGCCCTCCTGTCGCGCCCTGTGGAACCAACCCTGGTGTGAGGAAGCCCGCTGCTCAGAGGAGTGGTCTTTAGACCAGCTAAGCGCCTTCCCTGGCGGGGGGGACACCTGGCCGTCCAGAGCTGACATTCAAGCTTCACCTGGCCCAGGGAGCAGGCAGACTGCAGGATGGCGAGACAGTCCCTTCTGAATCACAGCACTCAGCCAGCCTTGCCCGGGTCAGGAGACAGCACTGCCCGCCCCCCACCTGCTCTCAGGGTCATCAGCTGGACGGAAGGCCTCTAGTGAACCTCGGGAGACTTCAAGAAACACACCACCTCCCAGAAGCCCCCTGCCATGTCACACAGCTTTCCAGCTGTCAAACCACCAAGAGGTTCACAGGGTGGTATCTTAAAAATGAACTTCACTGAGACTGTCTTAGGCAAAATGAGATCCAGGCAAAGACTGTGCGAAAGACAGTGAACACAGAACAGAGAAGTGATACAATTCATGACCCCTGAATGCAACCGTGTGCTGTCTGACATTTGCTTCAAAACTGCATGGGGTTGAGCCAGGGAGGGTATTAGTGCTTGTTGAACCCAAAGTGGGAAAGGGTGGAGGCTGAGGAGTTAGTGCTTGGTGAATCCAGGGTGGGAGGGGTGGAAGTAAGTTAGTATTTGTTGACTCCGGGGTTGGAGGAGGTGGAGGGTGGTTTGTACTCGTTGACTCCGGGTGGTAGGGGGTGGAGGTAGTTGGTGCTTGTTGACCCTGGGGTAAGAGGGGGTGGAGGGTAGTCAGTACTCGTTGACTCCGGGTGGGAGAGGGTGGAGGGTAGCTGGTGCTCGTTGACCCTGGGGTAAGAGGGGGTGGAGGGTAGTTGACCCCGGGTGGGAGACCCAAGGCCATTGCTTTCCCTGAGCACGTTCCTGCCTGGCAGCCGTCTCAAAGGCTCGGGAACAAAGCTGCCCGTTACCTGGAAGAACTGCAGCTGCTTCTCCAGGCTCCAGAAGAAGGGGTGCTTGAGCACGTGCCTGGCCGAGGGCCGCATCTGGGGGTCTGTGGCGATCATCCTCTCGATGAGCTCTCGCGCCACGACGTCTTCTGTGGGAGCGAAACGCGTGCTCACTCTGGCAGCCGAGGCCACCGTGACAATGCCAAACCCCGAACGAGCCGTGTTCCCTGGACTCAGGGCTCCACGCACAGGGACTGACCCCGGTGAAAGCACCGAGCGCCCACAGAACCCAGCTCCTCAGGGCGTCCGTGGTGTGTACTCGTGAGGGGGCAACAGGGGATGCTCGTCACAGGCTTGGGCGGACACGCCGCTGGGCACCCTGTACCAGGCGACCACCATGATGGTCGTGGCCACACACGATCCACGGAGGCGCGCTGGCAATGCTGAGATGGGAGCATGTGTAGAACAGCGTGCCTCGTGAACCCCACTTTACTGAAGTGCGCACGTGTGTCTGCACAGGTGACTGGGTAACGTGTCCAAGGTATCCACAGCTGTCATATGTTTCCATCTGAGGGGACATGGGCCTTGTACAACCTGCCTCTTCTTTTTTGTTTTTTTGAGTTGGAGTCTCACTCTGTCGCCCAGACTGGAGTGCAGCAGCCACTCCCGGCCACCGCAGCCTCGATCTGCTGGGCTCCGGCGATGCTCCCGCCTCAGCCTTCCAAGGAGCTGGAATTACAGGCGTGCACTACCACGCCTGGCTAAACTTTTGATTTTATTGTAGAGATGAGGTCTCGCCTGCCCAGGCGGGTCTCGAACCCGCAGGCTCAGGCAATTCACTCACCTCAGCCTCCCAAAGGCGCGAGATTACAGGCTGAGCCACCGAGCCCGGCTGAACCTGCCTCTTCTACGAGTGAGGAAATTTCACACAGGCAAAGCAATACATCATTTGGATTTAATTCTCTGCAAGGCAGCACCTGGTATCATGGGCCAGTTAGGACCAGGAGGCCCCGAAGTCAGGAAGGAAGCTGTGCCGTTCTTGCAGGGGCAAAGCTCACCTGTCCCCAGTGTGCCCGCGCCCGCCCTCACCAAGGCTGCACTGTGGAGCAGTTTGTCCCCCAAGTGCCGAGCAGAAGGGCCCTACTGACTCAGCCCGCCCATCATGAGCTGGAAAAGCTGCCCAAGGGCCTCACCAGGCCATAGGTAGGTGGTGGCCTGCAGGGACCCGGGAGCTTCCCGGCTCTGGAAGGGGACACCCGGGGTTACCTGCCAGCGCCTCCCCCTGCCGCTTGAGGCCCAGCCCAGGCCACTCCCCTGCACCTCACCGTGCTTCTCTGGGTGGAAGTGGTCGAGGCTGTAGGCGCCCAGTAGGATGTTGGCCTGACGCTGCAGGGACTTGCCAAAAGGGTGGCTGCCCTCTGAGACCACGTAGTAGAAGACACAGCCCGCGGAGAAGATGTCCACCGTGTAGGTCTGAAAGGAGACCAGCGTGAGTGGCCTGGCAGGCCCCATCCGCCCTCGCAGGCAGTGGAGCGGGGTTGCCTTTACTACCCGCAAGAATCCTGGGGACAGCTGCAGTGTGAACAGGCTGCAAGGGAGCCCTGTGGCCACTCAGCGCGGAGGTCACGGGCAAGAGAGGAGGACATGGCTCTGTGGGCTGCCAGCGGGAGCCCTGGGCCTCTTGAGCGAGAGATGCCGATGAGGCAAGTAGGGGAGCCACACCCGTGTGTGAAAGCAGCACTGCAGACCGCACAACCCGCAGGACACTGCCTCCTGGTGCTGGGCCCCTCCCACCCCCATGGGAGTCCTTGGAGGCCACCCCATGCGGGCCTTCCCGCTGTGCCCCAGGCCTGAACAGTGCTACACACAGCTGACCCAAAACTCTGCCAACAAGCGAAAGAAGCCGTTCTTGATTAGAAAGTGGCCCCAGAAAACACCTGACGAGCTTCCAAGGCCGTCCCCGCTGACATCGCCCCACACCTCCCTGCCCCTGTGAAGCCCTGTGTCCCCGATCAGCCCCTCTCCGACGTGCCTGTGGTGCCCAGCTCATGCCTGTGGGGCCGGTGGCCAGGGCCGCCACTCAGGTCCTCCGTGGACACAGAGGGGCAGCGGGCTGTGGCCTCTGTGAGGAGGTGTGCCATGACAGTATGGCTTCTCCTCCACCTCGCCACCGCCCTGCGGCTCAGCAGAGCCCACACCGCCATGCCCAGACAAGGGTGTGGACCTGTGACGGGCCAGGACTGGACTTGGGTCTCCTGCCTCCCGGAGCTGGCCTGTCCCATCTCGTCGGAGCTTCCCCGGGAAGGTGGCGGGCTCGGGACGGCCTCGCTCCTTCTCACAGGGCCTCGCACGCCCCCCAGAGGATCTGCAGCCTAAGTGTCGCCTGCATGCTCTGTGTTCAGGACGAGAGGCGCTTCCTGCCCGCCTGGATCCAGATGTATTCTTTCCCAAACTTATTGCTGCTGCTTGGACTGTAATTTAAATATCCCACAAGCAGCTAAATTCAGCACCATGAAGTCTGGGTGAGCAGGATCCTGGACCCTGGAAAGCCTGGATGGCCCGGCGGGGCGCGCAGGCCAGAGCTGACGGCAAAGGGCTGGCAGCGAAGAGCCAGCACCAGGCTCCTGCCTCAGTACCACAGCAAGTGCTCAGAGTGTCTGAGCCTCACTCCAGAGGCCCCGGTGGCCACAATCAGGTGTAAAGGGATGGAAGGCAAGGCCTCAACTTAGAGCAAAGGGTTCTGGGACTGCAGGATCCATTACCGGTGTCAGGCGAAGTTAAGTGCCTCGGGGCTGTGTGTTTTCTCATGACTACTTACCGGACTGACTTTTAGGACTAACCAACCAGTGGCTGGTCCCCAGGGAAGCGGACAAGAGGGAGCCGTTCCTAATCTGTGCAGGACGGCGGATCCCGTCTGGTCTGACTGGGGAAAGGTCAAGGTGAGCCTCCAGTGACCTGGCTAGAATAAGGTATTCAAGCACGAGCGGGTGTGCAAGCCAGGCGGAAACAGCTCCCGTTGGCCAGACCGGGAGCCACTTGAGCATCAAAAAAGGACAGAGAAAAGGACTGCAACGGCTGACTTAAAAATCCTCGCGTCCACAGTGGTTAGGGAAAGAAAGTTCTTATTAGCAGAAAAACATCAGCTAACGTATGCAGAAGAACTTCCATCGGACTGAGGGCTTCAGGCAAGGACGGTGGCTGGACGCTGAGCCGCTGGGTGAATGCCTGATGGTAAACAGGACGTCCTCACTGTGCCCCGCGCCACCTGATGCTGCTTGCTAACAACAGGGGGCAGTGCCCTTGTCCAGGGCAGTGACAGGTGTGGCTTCACTAATGAGGGAGGACAGTAAACAGTGCCACACGGGCCCTCTGGTGCAGAGCCTGTGGCCTGTCCTCCCAAGACTCAGCTGACTCCAAGGAGCCCTTGCAGCGGCCGCTAGAGTCCGGGAGACAGGAGAAGAGAGAAAACCCTCAATGCTGCCACGAAATCTCTGCACAGATGCCTGACTCTTAAGAATGTCAGGACCACAGACCGAAGCGGGGGAAGGCCGGAAATCCAGAGAGACCAGCGGTGAGGCAGGGGACCCGGCGGGTCCTGGCTGCAAAAGCCAGCTCCGAGAGGACCGCAGGGACCCAGAGCATGGCTGTGGAGGAAGCACGCGGTGGCAGGACGCAGCAGTTCAGGACCAGACGCCCGAGGCTCAGACGGTGCTCGGCCCAGGGTGACGGAGGCCGGGACAGGCGCACGTTGCCTCAGACCGTGCTGGGTGTGGATCGCAGGGCGCTGGCCTGCACATCCAGGGGCTCGGGAAGAGGCAGAGAGAAGGCAGCAGGGAAGAGTGGGCGCAGACGCTGGGTGTGGGGGCAACGCTCCTGCGGTTTCCTGTCCACCTAAAAGCCCTGCATGAGGAGCTGCGAGAGCACAACCAACACACCTTGAAGGGGCAAGGGCGGGAGGTGTGCGGCCACAGGCAAGCCCGGCCTCCCAGTTCCCCTGGTAGAAGGGGGCTGAGTGGTGGCAGGAGAGCCGTGCCCTCATGGCCTTGCAATGACCAGACTCGGGACATCGGGGCAGTCCAGGGTTCTGCCTGGGAATTACCTGCGGGGCTGACTTGGAGGCCGGGAGACCACAGGCCTGAGCCCCCCGCCCCTGAGCCCCCCAGCCCCAAGGGCGCGCACCGGGTTCTCCTTGCAGTCCTCGCTCAGCATCTCGGGGGCGATCCAGCCCTCCGTGCCGGGCACCCCGGAGCGGCGGCTGAAGCTGTGCCTGCCCACGGCCAGCTTCTTGCAGAGGCCAAAGTCAGAGATCATGGCCTTGATCCTGCCATGGGCATTGGGCATGGACAGCAGAATGTTGTGTGGCTTCAGGTCTCTGTGAACTGAGAGGGACGCCGGGCTGGCACGGGGCTCACCCGCAGCCCTGCCAGCACCCCCACGACGGGTGCCTGTCCTCCTGGGCCCCACCCGTCCTGGCCTTCCCGGGGCCGGCGACCCTGCTGGGGCGGCCTCTCACCGATGTTGAGGGAGTGCAGGTGGGCCAGACCTGAGGCGGTCTGCTGGAGCAGCGCGATGGGCTCCAGGCCCAGGTGGGCGAAGTCCTTCTGCTCCACGTACTGTGAGAGACACACGAGGTCACGCCGGCTGCAGCCCAGCCCTCCGCATGCCCCACAGGCCGATGCCACAGGCAGCGCTCACAGATGGGCCCAGCACCTTGTCCTCTCCACGGTGGGAGGGGCACGGAGGCCGGACGTTCCAGGGCACCACCTCGTGCGGGACAGCCCATGGGTGAACCTGGCTCAGCCGTGAGCCTGCAGACTTGGCAGGAGTCTGTGGAGACCCTGGGGCCTGGAGGCACCAGCCAGGATGGCCAGAGGAACAGCCTGCAGGCTTCCTGGAGGCCAGGGGGACATGTCAGGTGCTCACATGACTGCCTGCACCTGAGGGGACCCCCTGGAGCCTGGGGGGCGAAACACCCTGTCTCGATGGCACCTAGGTTTGGGATGTAGACGCTTGCCGAAATACAGCAAGCTGCACGTCTTAAGCAAGCGCATCTTGGTAAGCGGAGCCCCACAAGCGCACACGGGCAGAGCGCCCACCTCCTGCAGGGTAGCAGCACACAGCTCCAGTGCGATGTACTGGAACTGCCGGTCGCGCTCTGTGCAGAAGTAGCGGATCACGTGCGGGTGCTCATCCGACTCTCGCAGCAGCTGGACCTCACGGGCCGCAAAGCTGAAACACTCAGGCAGGATTCTCTTCACGGCCACGTCGCGGTGGTCAAACATGCCCCTGCGGGACACGAAGCAGGTATGTCGGGTCAGAGCAAGTCAGGCCCCAGCGCCCCAGCGCCCGGTGGCTCTGGGTCCCTCCTCTCAGTGGGTGAGCCCCCAGAGGTGGGACATGGCTGCCTGGTCATGGCGCCTCTGTGATGCCTGTGCCCCACCTGCCCGCCGCCTACCCGGAGCATACCGGTACACAATTGTGCCCTCAGCGCCGTGGCCCAGGACATCCTTGGGGCAGAACGAAATCTTCCCGACGACCACCAAGCTGGCTTCCTCATCTGGTGCAAAACGGGAAGAGGGGTCATTTTACACACGCTGCCCAAGAACCCAAGAGGGGTGCTGAGAGGGGCTCCTGGCTTCCTGGCCTCGGATGACGAGGCAGACCTACAGCTGGATGCTGGCGGCACAAGCGGGCCCAGTCACCTGTTTACGGCTCAGGCCGCCCCACCCAGCCCACATTCTGGGAGACGTGTGTCCCAACCATCCTGAAGACAGGCTCTCTGGTGTGCCACACAGTTGCGCATCCATTCTTCACACACAGGTCACAAGGAGGAAAACAGCCCTCTCAAAGCCCAGCGCCTGAAATGCGTGCATGGGGCTGGCGGACATGTAAGGTGGGAGAGGCGTGGGGCTGGGCTCTGTGGCCCCTGCACTGGTCACCAGCCTGAGCAGGCCGAGGGGACAGTGGATGGACGGCCCACTTCCCTTCGGCCACTGGCTGCGGGGGGAAAGGGAGGCCGGAGGCAGACGCCGCAGTGGGGCAGGCTCTCTCAGGGACCCGGGCAAGGAAGCTAGGGAGCGCTGCAAGCCCTCCCAGTGGCGCTAGAGGCTGCGGGACTCCGTGTGGCACCTTGGTGCTCCTGAGCCCAACGCAGGACGAAGCAGCCCCGAGTGGCAAGCGGCCTCACCCCCGTCGTCCTGCTCCGGAGAGGAGCCGGTGCCAGCCTTGGCGGCCGAGCCTCCAGAGCAGAGAGAGTGGGCAGAGGCTCGGGGGGATGTGCCAGGGCTGCTGGCCCCCGAGCTCTCGGAGCATGTGCCCGATGTGTCCTGGGGCTTGCTGTCCTGTGCCGTGTCTCCCGGGAATGGCTGCAGGTGCCGGATCCGCTCCAGCTCTTCCTGGAACCGCCGCTGCTGGAGCTGCCGCTGCTGGCGCACACCCTGTCAAAAAAGAGAGGAAGCAAGTGAAAGAAAGAGAGAGAGAGAGAGGGAGAGAGAACGCACCACTGCAGAGCCCACACCTGGAGAGAGAGAGAAAGAGAGGGAGGGAGAGAGAGAGGGAGGGAGGGAGAGAGAGAGAGGGAGAGAGAGGGAGAGAGAGAGAGACAGAGAGAGAGAGAGAGAGAGAGAGAGAGAGAGAGAGAGAGAGAATATGGCGGGGACCCGCTCCATCCCACGACAGTGTGGGAGCTGGAGTGCAGGCAAAGCCAAGCAGGACGAACGCTCAGCGAGGCTGGGCCCGGGGGTGGCCGTGCCGCTGGCCCCTGCCCCTCCGGCCAGCCTGACAGCCAGGGTCCCGCACTGACTCTTCCTGCTGCCTAGAACACAGGCCTCTGAGGGATCGAGGGGCTCTAGCCAACCCCGTCGAAGGGGCCACCGTCGGTGTCGCCAAGACCTGCCAGAGAGGCTGACCAAGGGGCTGGGGCGTGGCCAGCACTGGTGCCTGCTTGTCTCCCCTGCCCTGGGGAGTCCCTAGGAAGGGGCCTGGCCTTCAGAGCCCACCCTCTTCTCCTATGCACAGGGATGGACAGTGACGGCCTCCTGGGACTGCAGGAGGCAAGAGCCGATCTCATGGGCGCATCTACTGGGGAGTCCTCACGGGCTGCCACACCCTCCTGCGGCATGGGCCCCTGAGCATGGGGCTGTGAGCGGACAGTCCTGCAACACCCTCAGAGCCCGCGAGGGGTGGTCTGAGAACGTCGTGTCCATCCCTGACCGGCTCAGCGGCGCCCTCTGCCTCGGAGTCCCAGGCATCACCAGGTTTCTGGGTTGCTCAGCGGACCCCGCCGCGATTCTAAGGGAAGAGCGCCCCTCCTCCATCATCCACGTTCTCACAGGGAAAGCCACAGTGTGCAGGCCATGCCGGCCGCTCCACCTGAGAGGTGTGAGGTAGGTATCCAGGGTCCTCTTCTGAGAAACCGGGGCCCCACGGGCGAGGTGCTGGAAACTTGACACACCCCGACTTTGAGTGTGCGCGAGGCACGCGCTGCTTCCAGCCAGACCCGACAGCAGTGGGCCTCGCGGGCAGGCGCGGGGGCCACGGAGCCGAGCCTTACCAGGGGGTAGGAGATGGCGAAGGCCACCCAGCCGACCAGCAGGAAGGTGCTCAGCACAATGGTGGCCACGTCCTTGAGCACGGAGTCCACGGGGGCCTCGGGCCGCGCAGGCACGTGCTTCTCCTCCATGTCCCGAGACACGGGGGTGGGCGCGTTCTCTGACGTCTGGTCGACCAGGTGGATGACCTGCGTGGGACACAGCGGCTGCATCACTGCAAGGTTTCCAGTCGCTGTGGATGAGCTGCGGTCACGGAGCCCCTGCCACGCCCCAGTGCGCGGGCCCAACGTGCTGTGTGTGCCTGAGCTCACGGCGGCAGGCAGCCCAGACCGCACCTCTCCCCAAGCCACCACTCTGAGGCAGGCGCCATGCTGTGACTCAAAACAGATTCTGCAGCCTCTTGGGGCAGCACCGTCAGGCTCGCTACATTTTATAAGTCGTCGAGGAAGGCAAACACCAGCGCCCCTGCCGGTCGGCCGCATCTCTGGGAAAGCGTCCGATCCCCATACAGAGTCTGGCAGAGGCCTGGTTCAGGTGATCGCATGCCTTGCCCTGCAGAGGATGTGGCTGGGAGAAGGAAGGCGAGTCCACAGGTGCCTGAAAACTGCCACCAACTCCAAAGCAGTCATTTCCTCATGCATTTGCTCATTTTCCAGTTTTTAAGAAGCATCACAAGCATGTTACATACAATTCCATTTAGAAATCCCAAATTATATCAGAAATGAACAGGGCTCTCCTCCCCTCCCAGCCTCTTGGGATCTAGGGTTCCACAGACTGTCTAGAAGGATGTCCTCATCTGTCCCCAGACACCTAGCATCTAGGTGGCCCCTCTCGTCTGCCCAGCGAGAACAGCACACGGTGCCCGGCACAGGCCACCCCAGATGCTGCAGTGCCCTTCTCACACGTCCAGGTATGCCTCCTGTCCACACCTCTCCATCGAGGCCAAAGCGTGTGGGTGTGTGCCTATGGGCATGGGAGGTGGGAGGTGGTTGAACACGAGACCTGGGATGTGCACTTGGCCATGCAGTCCAAGTGGTGCCAGCACAGTGCCTTGCCACACAGATGCCCACATGTGCTTAGAGACTCTAAGGCCCTCTGCTCATGACTGGAGGGGGGAGGTGGAGACCCACGCCCACCCCCAGGTGTCAGGAAAGGGACTGGTGTCTTCCTTCCTTCATTTCCCAAGAGCTCATGGTGAAGACGTGCTTTGGGGAGCTCACAGCAGCTGCTGGCGCCTGCCATCTGGGCACCGCACGCCCTCCAGCCCAGCTCCTCTAGGGGTGACGGGATGCCTGTGGACCTGGAGTACTCCCCTCGTCTCTGGACACAGTCCAGCTCTCTGTGGCTCTGTCATGCCTCTGGTCCCAGGAGGGGCTGCATGTGCTGTGGAGCCCGGGTGGCTCTCTGAGGCCGTCAGCGAGGTCCTCCGGCCTCCTCCACCTGCACGGGTCACCCTGGCCCCTGGTTTCTGCTGAGGGCAGCCCACGGGTTCCAGCAGAGGAAGGGTGGGGGGGCGGGGTTCTGCTGCTGGGGGCCCTTCTGGCTTCCCACTTAGTGCTCTGGCTTTGGGCTGAGGTGAGCGAGAGAATGCCGGTGGCATCCACGCCGTGCGAGGCCACTGTCAACAGACCTCCCGGCCACCCTGCCACGTGGGCCTCGCCCGCAACAACGCTCAACTCCGCCAGGCTTGTTCCGACCACACGAGTGCCTCTCCCATGACCCCAGCCCGATACGCTGGCCTTCAGGGCGCAAATGGCCACGGCCAACTCCCAGCCCAGGTCTTCACGCGGCTGGCTGTCTACCGCCTCCCCCACGCCGTCAGTGGTTGTCTGCATGTGCTCTGGGTGGGGTGGCACTTGAGGAGCAGGCCCAGCTAGCCCCATGCCCACACCCGACGCCCACGGCACTGGTCAGGCCCACTCACCTCCTCGAAGCTCTTTTTCTCGGCATCGGCGGGAATCACATTCTCCCGGTGTTTGGGCAGGTTGTTGGGAAATCTCTCCAGCATCTTGGTGGACGCAGACAGGGGGGTCTCGTGGTGTCCTGTGAGAGGAGACGGGCCCTGTGAGGACAGTGGCTTCCCAGGCAGCAGTCTCAACACCAAGCCACAGCAGCCGCTCCTTGCTGTGGTCTAGTCAGCCCAGGCAGGATGGTGGCTGCAGGCTGGGGAAAGGAGACGGTCACCAGGGAAAGGTCACTGCTGCTGAAGCACTGTTACCAGACGGAAGAAGGCGTACTCCAAGCCTCACGGGGAGAGCACGTCCCCAACACCAGGGGCTCAGGAGGCTCAGACGCGTCCAGGCCCAAGGTCCCATGGCAGAGGAAACACCAGGAAGCATCACCAGAAGTTCACGGCATTCCCTCTTCAGAGCTGGCGCTGGGACGCCACCGGCCACTGCCATGCCGCCCCCCGTGGCATCTGGGTTGCCTGGGTGAAGCTCTGGGCCTGCTCCTGCCTAAGCACCAGCTTCCGTCTGGGGAGATGGATGGCCAGGGCTCTCGCGCCACCCACTCACGTTCTCTGCACAATGTCTTCCTGACTCCGTTGTATTCACAAGACAAGTACTAAGTGCCTACTGTGTGCAGATGACAGCAGAGAGATGACAGCACTGGCCTTGGTCTGCTTGTCCGTTGTCAGCTGGGTCCAGACTCCAGGGCAAGCAGCACCTGCCAGGTCCTGCCCTGGACCCATGGAGCAGCCTCCTGGGCCCTGCAGGCCCAAGGGACGAGACCCCGGGTGTCGCGGAAAGCGGTCAGGGTCGCTGCCTGGGATGGTTGCAGAATGCGCCGCTCGGTGTCGGGCCCTCGTGCTTCCAAGAGCAACGTGAGCACACGACGTCGGCGACATCTTCCATGACGACCAAACCGGGGCGTCTGCGGACACGAGAGGGCATGTCCCCAGTCTGGGGCCTGGTTTGCACAGGTTGGTGGCGTGGGGCCGACTTTTCTAGGATGTCGGGTTTTGGAGCACCTCCAAGGGGCCGTGAGCTGAGGCGGCCTAGTGACTCCTGCACATGCTGTAGGGCCTGTTTCTCCCATGGACAACCTCCATGGGAAGGGGCCACACGCGCGGCCAGGAGGCACCTGCACTTTGGCACACACACACCCATGCAGCCCCTGCTCGTGCCCACGTACCCCTCCACTCACATGCCTGCATCCCCGGCTCACAGGATGCCCCCCCACGCACCCCCGGCTAACGTGCCCTCGGCTCACGCACATGCGCACCCCCTTACACCCACGCACCTCCCACTCACACACACGCCCGCCTACTCACGTCCACGTGTCCTCTGCTCACGCACAGGCACCCCCACTCACGCAAACGTGTCCCTAGCTCTCCTCCAGCTACCACGGTGGCTCACGTGCCTGACACGCCTCCCGGAGGCTCAGCTGTGTTCCCCACCCCCTCGGCGGCCCTCCTCTCCCAGGGGCTCATGCAGTCCCAGCTGCTGCTGTTTGAAGACACTTGCGCTGTCACCTCCTTTGCCCGTTATTCGACAGAAACAATAAGACAAAAATGGCTACAAGGAACCAGGATGAGAAAAAGAAAAGCACCTCGACCTCTGGGCTCCAGCAGGTTGGCAGGCTCGAGGCCCGGCCTCCTCTCATAACCCTGGTCACGTGCACCCCCACCCA